GATAAAGTCGATCAACACCCCAAAGCTTGACAGTCATTATTACCTCTTCATTGGTCGACATTACATCAACGTTGCACAGTTTTGATGCTGTTTTATGTCTGATGATCGTGTTAGATTACATGTGGAAGCATCTGTTGTTTCGGTTTCTTTTTCACTTGTGTTTTTTGGAAATTCTGTACAGAAGATGTGTACTAGCGCCCCCTACAGTATAACAATGAAAACACGGATTCTAGGAACACAAGTATAGCTCAAATATATTGAGACTTTTTCTAAGTATAAGTCAAGTATACTTAAATGTCATTTTAAGTATATTTCTGAGAAGTACATAAAGCCCATTTCTGAGAAGTACATAAAAAGTAGACTAAAAGTATACTTTCCTATTTTTTATTTTAAAATAAGTATACTAATAGCACACTTGAATAAACTTCTTTTTCGTAAGGGTTACTGTGAACAACTGATCGATCATTTGGAGTTTTAACCACGCAATCAAGATTCAAGATTTGTATTTGTCACATACACAGTAAAACCTGGTCAGCTGCTTCGATTGTGCATTAAGTATAAATAGTAGGTAAAAATGTTAAAATAAGATGAACATAATAATAGCAAAATACAGCAGCAATATGGTAATAAATCAACTGTTATTTTAGTATCATTAAGATACTATTCGTTTTTATTCTTATTTTGATTGTTTTTATTTTTATATTATATTTTAATTTTAGTTACAATTTTAGAAATGATGTGTTTCATTTTTAGTAGCTTTTTTAATATGTTCATAGTTTTTATTGATTTTTATTGTAGTTTTAGTTATTTTAGTACATCAAGATAACTAAACTAAATGAAAATTTGTTTTCTGAACATTTTAAACCATGTAACATTTAAATAATGCTAGATGAACGTCCAACTGAAGTGTTTCAGAGGGGAAAAAAAACATTCAATGAATGATGTAGAAATGTTTTGTGCTAACATTTTGAGAACATTTGAAAACATTTTACTTTTTAAGAATACTTTGCTCCGATTAAGTTACGAATACGTTATTTCTGAATATTCTCTGAACTTTCGAAACATCCAGTTTGTAACCGTTTTAAACACTTTTTCAAACGTTATACAGACGTTACGGGAACATTCCATTTGATCACTTTGCAAACATTATGTGAAAGTTACTTTTTTAGAATGTTCCCTGTAACAGGAAGTAACATTTAAAAACACATTCAGACGAACATTCCATGAACAATAAATAATGCTTTAAGAACATTCGACCAGATAACTTCAAATGAAAGTTCTGTTGACGTTGTTTGTTTATAACGTTACGAGAACCTTGCCAGAACATTCAGAGAACGTTTCCTGTTCCTGATGGATGAAATCAAGCCCTTCACTACATTTATTTTAGAAATACAGTCAAACCAAAATCTATTCCGACACCTTTAACGTCTCACATTATCACAGTTTATTCGCTATAGTTTAGAAAATGGTAATAAAATATGACAAGAACTCAGAGTTAAACTGTGTCAGAACAAATTCATCTTGATAATGTCAGATACCTTTGATAGAAAGGTAATGAATTAGACTGTCAGCTGTTAAAGTACACAATTAGATAATACCAATTTAGCTCAATTACCAAGCAATGCTTCATTTTGTTCAGTCTGTGGTGTAAAAGGGTCACATTTAGCAATTAAAGAAAAAACACTTAAGCAAAACACGGTCAGGTCAAAGTGTCTGAATCATTTTGTATCAGTTTTGCTGGTAGTCCACAGTATGAAGAACTTTTGGTTATAATATGTCACAGTTTATTTTATTTTGCTATCCTCACTTACATACATGATCTATAGTGTCCTGCACCCACTAGTAAAAAAATATCAAAAAATCATATCTGCTGTCTGAATCATTTTTGGTTTGACTGACAGTAAAGTGGCATTTCATATTGACTTGAGCATCTGGTTTTTCCAACTGTTGTGTGTCGTGTCGTGCGGATCTGACAGGATCTGTTGGTCTAGTGAGCGTCTGTGTACTATTCTCAACCCAGGAAGAATTTACACAGAGACGAGCCTCGACCTGCACGCGGCCTGCAGATACGGCGGATAAACCGCTCGCGTTTACAATGTTCCTTCTCCTCTATTTGTACTTCAGAATTAAACACACTGACCCGCAGGAGATGTGAGGCTAAATAAAGGCAGACCTATATCAGTCGGGCCAAGGCCTATAAAATCAAATCGCTTTTATAAAAAGAGCTGAGGGTGAGAGAGCAACAGGACAGAAACCCCCACAAACACACCGCCAGCCGTCTGTCTGACAGAGAGAGAAATACTCGGCTGAATGTGCTTTAAAGTGGGCCTATTTCTAGTAATCAGAGTCTGTCTGATGCTTTCTTTGCTTGGCTTCTTTTGGAAAGAAAGTCCACCAAACAAAAACAACTCTTTAGATCACAAAACAACACTATAATGGTACAGTATATGCCATGAATTGAATAATAATTAATAAACAATATATTCATAGTGAATATTCATAATACTCATAGTTATTGTACTCTAATGATTACAGTTACGTTGTATATTTTAATCATTAAAAAATATTTAAATGAATGTTGCTTCAGATGCTTAAAGCAATCAGAAAACAATATCAGTTCATTTCTGTTTATTATTCCATAATATAGAAACATGCAAAATAACTTTGCAAACATGTAATGCTGTAGGCCATATACATTAAAATAATTACAAAAACATTTATAATGCATTTTGTGATTTACATTTTTTTTAAATTAATTAATTAATTTTATTTAAGCTTTTTGACAATTATTTAACAATATTTATTTATTTAATTTCCAAATGTACGTTTTGGGAAACACAGTAAGTTCATATAAAAAGCACAAAAAATGAGGAAAAGGCATCTGAGAGCAATTTTAGGTATTAAATGAAAAAAAAGTAATAAATAATAAACATAATAAATATTAACTATTTTCAGCTGAAAAATTAAATTAAAACAATTAACTTTACCTACTGTCCCTTTATTTTGTAACAGTTGAAATAAACGTCAAAAAAAAGTTACATTTTTGTTTTAAAGTACATATTTATGTACACGTAGAGCTTTAAAATGAACACAGATGATTATATCAGAAATGATGGAGTTCTTCCTGACGTTTGATCACAGGGTTTGGCTTCTTGAGCAAGTCTGAGGCCACATTGTTGAGATCTCTTGGAGATTACTGCCCTCTTTCACTTCAAATACAAGCTTTCTTCGTTTTGCAAAGCCGATTTTGTGTTTTGTGTAATTCTTTAATTTTGTGTAAATATATTCTTCAAAAACCAAGTCTAATCTCTATATTATTATAAAAATGCCCAAATTTGGCTCAGGGTCAGGCGGTCATCCATCACGCGAGTCATCAGGATCGATCTGAAGAGCCAGAACCTCCCACAAATCATGCATCCAGCTCCTGACGCCTCACATCCTCATTAATCACTGATGCAAATGATGCATAGCAGCCAATTAATCGTGACATTCTCTCATTAATCTAGATGCTGACATATTGAAAGACAGCGGTGACAGAGGAAGTTTTGCTTGCTAGCATAAAAAATAAAAAAACCCCGCTGGAAAATATTTTAAATCTCTACTGATTAAATAAATAAATAAACAAGCTATTATATTTTATTTTATTTTATTTTATTTTATTTTATTGTATTGTATTGTATTTTATTTTATTTTATTTTATTTATATTATATTTATATTATATTATATTATATTATATTATATTATATTATATTATATTATATTATATTATATATATTATATTATATTATATTATATTATATTATAATAATAATATAATATTATATTAAGAAAGAAACAAAACATTTTTTTTCAAGCAGTATATAAATACATACACAGCATTCATTTATATTTGTAATTAGGGCTTCTGTTATGTTATGTTCTGTTCTGTTCTGTTATGTTGTTCTGTTATGTTATGTTATGTTATGATGTTCTGTTCTGTTCTGTTGTTCTGTTATGTTATGTTGTTATGTTGTTCTGTTATGTTGTTATGTTATATTATGTTATGTTGTTATGTTATGTTATATTATGTTATGTTGTTATGTTATATTATGTTATGTTGTGTTGTTGTTATGTTATGTTGTTATGCTATGTTATGTTATGTTATGTTATGCTATGTATGTTGTTATATTATGTTATGTTATGTTATGTTATGTTATATTATATTATATTAGCGAAGTTAAATGATTGTAGTCCACAAAATCTACACAATCTTTCTGGACAAGGTACGTGCAAAACTACATATTTAAACTTTAAACCTAATATTTAAATATAAATGTAGATATTAACTGTTAATATTAGAAAAACAAATATGTAACAGCAGTGACTTTACATTTAAACTGCTTCAGCTACGATCATAAACTTATACACTGTAGGCAATCTACCAGAATACATGGAGTATTTTATGGAGTATTTTGTATTTGTTAGACAATGTATGCATATTTTACGTTCTTTATTGTCTTACTGTCCGAAATCAACATGAAACAGTAGAGGCTTTACATTTGTCGGGTGTTTCGCTAGTAACGCAACGTGCTTATTTGCGTCATCACGCAACGCGCTGACGCAATTCCGCTACGCGCGAAATTTTGAGCTTTGCGTTCTAAGCCAAACAAGAGACGGTTCCCGCTTCACCCGCTTCACACACAGTGATGATCGACTGGATCGTTCAGAATGGCGGAGTTGGGCTGCTACTCTCCCAGCTTTAAAAAACCGTCTGAAGTTCTGCGGATGAGACGGAAGCGCGCGCGGAGCGAAGGCCCGGACCGGAGGACGGTGGATGGGCTTCGTCCGTTCTCTCCGGTGCCGCTGCTGAACGCACCGAGCCGAGCGAGCGGCGGCGGGAAGCGCAGAAATCCGCTCGCCAACATCGAGAACACGTACAACAGTCCCAAGAAGAGAGCGTTATCCCACAGCGACGGACACGACGGAGCTCTGGACGGTAGAAACACGGCAGCTGCGGTTCTGGACGGAAAGCTCAGCGGGAAACTCAGGGAAGAACGCGCGAACGCTGGAACATCATTTAGAGAGGAGCTGTTCAACACCGAGCAACAAAAACATCTCGAGATAAAGGTGAGAGAACGGTACATTACAGTCAACTGTACGTTACACCATCTACCAGTACTGTGTGTGTGTGTGTGTGTGTGTGTGTGTGTGTGTGTGTGTGAGAGAGAGCGAGAGAGACAGCGTCACATCACAGTAGAGTCAGCTGTCTTAACCGCGGCTTGTGTACTGCATCATTACTGTGTCTGTTCCCCTTTCGGGCTTGAACTGATGGTAAAACTAATGACATTATTTACTGTCT